TTAATCATCTTATACTTTTACTCAGATTGTATTTAAGCATGCATCAGATAATTTAAAAAAGCGAGGATTAGAATAAATTTATTGTATACGTAAGTGTTGGCATTTTTAGTTTTTTATCTACAGTGGATTTCGGTTATAACGACGACAAAGGGACCACTGTAATTGCATCGTTACATCCGGAAGTTGTTACAGGCAGACGCAAAGAGATACAGATACTCATGTATAGTTTTCACAATTTTTCAATTAGTAAATGTGTATCTAGGAGTTATACTTATTCAAAATTTTACTAAACACAGTTGCTACTTACAATATTACTTTGTAACTGAACTATTTTAACGTATACGCTTATCTATCTACATGGTTAATATCTATAAACAAACGGTAAAGGTCACCACACTTGCTGACTCTGTGTGGATGTAATCGAAAGATAAGAAAGCTCTTTGTGCCTTTGGCGGTCGCTTTATCTGCATGGGATTACTAGGGACTTGTTACAAACGATTCATTAAAAAACTGTCGCTACACCCGAACTCGTCGTTACATCCGAATTTAATACTAAAGTATGTTTTAAATTCAAGGGACTTAGATTTAACGTCGCTATAGCAAAATGGTGGCTATAACTAAGGTCGTAATAAATGGAATCTACTTTTCCAGGAAAAAAATTAGGAATCCCAAAAATATTTACCAGCTCCTTTCATGAACGCGAATTATGTGAGAAAAACTATCTATTCATTGATTCCTTATTTTAGAACATTCATCGATTACTTCAATTACCTTCGTGTGTTGTCGAAATTTGATCGATTTACTTTCAATTCAAATATGCATTTTGTGCTTATATTACGCAAAAAGACTAGAGGTAGGACTTACCTCGATTCGAAAGAATAAAAAAAACGTCATAAATAAAAAAAAAATGATAGAAAACGTAAGACTGCTTATCAGTTTCGGTATCGTCAGTTGTTAATCACAAAAAGTAAACAAAATTAACTTGGTTGTGTTAAATACGATGCGTACTGCTCTAGAGGCAAGGAGAACTATCTCATATGCGAGGAATATTGAAAAAGGGTCCAGCTATAAGCAGTAAATAACAGTACAACAACCCTCCAAAATGGCGCTAGCGTAGGCAAAAGGTATGGTATGAATGTAGTTCTTCTTGACGGATTGTAGTATGGCGGGTTAGAAAATTCTGTATGTTTAATGACTAGAATAGTTAGTGACAGTCCAGTATACCAAACCTCAACTATTTACGTAGTTGAAAGTAATTTTGTCCTTATTTATTTTTCTGTTTTAGGGCTTTATCTGAAATTTACCCCGTTGCTACTGTGACGTCACCCAAATTTATCGCAGTTTGACAAACACTTTTCTTTCCACTTAAAAGAAACGCAAGTTTATTTAAAATTTAAAAACTCCTGTCACATAAAAATTAATAAACGATTATATTAAGGGCAATGTACCTATACCTTCACCTATAGGGTTCAATGGTATTTAAATTTTCAAAAGGTACCTCCCGACGTGTCTAAATTTAGCATAAAGCAAAAAACCTTACCGCAGAATAAATCGATTGTAAGCAATGTAAGTAGTTCAAAGGAGAACATCGAAAACAGGAAGAAAACTAAATTTAGTTTCTAATTTTGGACATTTTCCTAAAGCTCTTCAATATCCTTTAAATTGCGGTAACAATTTGAAATTGTAATTTCCGTTTGTCTAACCGTGGTTCACATGCAATGTTTCTCGTTCACAGTGATTTACATACAAGTACATTCTTCCTGACAGTACGGAATATATTTTTCAATTATTTGATAGGCAGGAAAATATGTAGCTAATACATGATACATATAATATTAATGTATATCTAGAAATATATCCTTACTTTTAAGAATTTGTCTTTCAATCTATCATCATCATCATTATAAAGTCGTCAGTCCTAAGACTGGTTGGACACGCACCTCCACTCCTTCCTATCCTGAGCTAAACTTCGCATTTCTCTAAAAGTAGAGCAACCCATATCCTTAACTATTTGCGAACAGTAATCTAATTTAGGTCTGCCTCTACCCCTCTTGACTCCTGTTTCTGCCTCTAATATGTCTTCTATTTTTCGTATATGTACAATTTGNACTTTTCTTCTTATTTGTTGTTTAATTGATTTGTTTTCCTCTCTTAGCAAGTAATTTCATTAAAAATAAGAATTTGCATTATGCTTTACACTTTTGTTTAAAATTGCTATCACAGTTACTAAACTCGTAATAAAAATTTGTAGAACTTTCAACTTCTTGCAAGGGTTCTCGTTTTTAAATGAGTTTGACTTGATCCAGGATTAATGAGAAGTGGAAGAAGCAATAAAGCCAGAATCATAAAAAATTTATTATCTCATAAACTAATAAGTTTTAAATTCAAAAGAAAACTTACTTAGAAGAAAAAAGTGATTCTATATAAGTAGCATTCGTATAACTTTGTTATAGAAAACTCACTGTATATAGGTACTAATTACTTTTTTCTTATTATTATCCTTATAAACAGACGTTTAATAAGACGTTTGTTCAATTTTTCTGCCTTTCGTTCCATTTAGGATTACTTTACAGTGTTTATTTTCCATTAAACCGCCTATTTTTAGAAACAACATAAAAAAGACTCTCGTGTAGTTGAATTTACAGCCGATATTCTAAAAACATTCTCACAGCTTTAATCGTCAATGCTTGAAAACCTCTCAAGAAATAAAACGTTGTTGCATTATCTTTGCGAAAGTACATCATTAAATATGATAACCTGTTCACTAATGTGTACTAATTTCAATTCGGATAATTAGAGAAAGGTTGAAGGATGTCTTCTACTAGTTTCCCTAGATAAAAATGTTCAGTCTCTTACAGTCTCTGAAAGCGAAACTCAAGTCTCTGTCTCTCATCGAGTGTCGCTGAGAGAGACTGTCAAAAAAACTGTTTAGCGTCTCTGAACGAGAGACTCGAGTCGCTCATAGAGAGATCGTCATTTCGTATCCAGTCTCTGAACGAGAGACTTGAACCTCTCAATAAGTGGTGTCTCGATAGACATGGTTAAAGTTCAACATATTTCAGAGATCTCAGTCTTTCTACGAGAGACTCGAGTCTCTCAATTTTTCTGTTTTATTCATTCAGTCATCGCAACAATTTCTCAACAATTTTATCGTTCGAGTCTCTCATACAGAGACTGTGAGAGATCCATAAAATCACCTAGGCAATAACTGAGAGACTGTGAAAGACTGTTAGAAACGCTCTCAGAGACACTGAAAGACTGAGAAACTGGAGAGAGACTGAAAATTTTTGTCTAGGGTTGTATAACATTTTGTAGCATCTGCAATATTTCGTAGACACTGTAGTTTGCATAGTATCTGTCATTTTTATATAAAAATGGAAACAAGGCATTTTGAATTTCATAAGATCAAGTTGAATAATTACATTGAATAATAACTTGAATTATAAAAAACATATTGTGAGTTACCGTCAGTGAGAGCAAAAAAATTATGCGTCAGTCAAAACGTAATGGCGTTAGAAGTGACTTTTTGTAGAATACTGAAACTGCCAAGGAGGTACAAAAAATGTAAAGCTGTTAGTTTTCGACTAAAATTGAGTTTCTAATTAACTTCGTCTGCTAGTGCTATTAAGTTACCTTTTCAAATACTACAATCCCAATCTATCCTGGTATCTACAATACTTTTATATCAAAGAAATGATTTCTGGAGTTTATATGATCTCCCGGAATCTTTTTCTAGGTCAGTGAATAATTTCAAGTTTTCCTTTGTAGTTGAAACATTTGAATTTTCACGTGGCCAGCGCGTTGGCAATAAATTTCATGTGATAATCTTGGTTAGTTGTGGCCAAGGTTCACCAGAAGCCGAGACGGCAGTCAGAAGGAAATTCCTCGAGCTTTGCACGAAATTTATTTATGAATACTTCTGGCTTGTTTCCAGTTAGGGATGTTCTTGTCAATTTTTCAGTAGACTTTGCTGCACCCCGTGATGCATGTTCACATCTACACTCCTACCGTAACCCGCTAAAGTTAGTAATATGTTAACAGTCCGTCCTGTTTCCTACTCATTTTTATTTTACCAGGGAATAATTTTTAGCGTCACGCCCCACCGTGAAAAATGAAATTGGCGGAAGAGCACGAATTTTATTAAAGTCAATGAGTACCTATACGTACGCCTGACGTTTCTTAATTTCGCTAAGAAACTATAGTCATGTTTTTGATAAAAATAAGTTAACATAAAGTAATATATCAAATTAAAACAAGCAACAATCGTACCTTGATAGGTCTGGTTGGTTCATCGTCAACTAGTCCACTTGTGGAGCGTTAGAACAGCCACTGTAATAAGTTTCAACCAAGCACAACATGCGTAGTATACAACGCGAACCGTATTATTAACAGTGTCGCAAGATGTACTCGGGGAGCTCCTGCGCGATAAAACAGTGCGCATCCGATTTGACGCTAGCAACAAGCAGCGCAACGTAGAGGCAGTTGAGAATCTCATGAACCTATGAAACAAAGTAATTGACGGTCCTGTTTGAGATGCGCAATCGCTCACCGCGCAACGACTCTTGCATTTCCTATCCTGTTCGAGCGACACTTTTCACACGGTCTCTTGAGACTCTTAGTTTATGCTCTTATCTCTAATTCTCTTAAGTTGTTTATGGGAAGATTAAATTACTAGAAAACTCAACACAAACTGACATAATAAAAAGTCATGATTCTGATATATTCTTTATGTACCTAGAATTCGCTTCTCAGTAAAATAAATTAGTCAAATTTCGACTACACGCGAAATTTAGTTTCTATGAATTGATTTTTATCCAACCTAGGGTTTTATAATAACAAATTTTTCTGCGGAATAAAAGTCCTCACTTCAACAAAAATTAATTTCTTTTCGTTCGCAAAATTGGTACAACGGTGAATTCAACAATAATTTAATCTTAAAGCAATTTCCTTTTTTCTGTCTTTGAAATACTTTTGTAATTTTCTTTATTTTCTCTTTTCAGCTGCGGGCAGTCGACTCTTCTACAACCCCCGTTTATCAGTATTAGTACTGTGCTGCCTGCTGTTTCGGTGGCTACTGATGAGGTAACTGTGGTGTTTTTCGTTTAACGGTTCACTTAGGAAATAGGAGATAATCGTTAAGTTAATCAGCTTTTAATCTGATACTTAAATGTAAATGCAGTACTTAAATGTAAAAGCAGCGTTTACATCTATTTAAGTCACTACTATTTTGTTTTAAAGCTGTTTTATTATCACTTCATCCGAAAGAAACTTAACAGAAAAATGAAATAGTAACTACAATTAAGTGAGCACGAGTGAAAGGAATCATTACGATATTCTAACGATATATAATATTGACTGTTGCCATATTAAATTAAAATAATATCTTTTCAATTGTATCTCGACTTTCCATAGTGTGTATTGTTCATTTTCTGTGTCGTGTTGTGTGTATTACACTATTAAAAAAATTAAACATTACTATTGAAATTTGCGATTGGACTGACAAAGAATATCCCCGAAAAAAAAAATCTTATTTATTTAAATAAAAACTGTATCACAACGTTCAGAGAATGCAATATATGAACTATTAAATTCTTAATATATCCTAAAATTTTAATACAAACCTTCAAAGTACCATAATCATTATTTATAACAACTATAAAGTTTGGTTGTCAGTTTAAACACATTGATTGTAAAATAACTTGAATAATCAAGCTTGCATAGATATGAAATACTGCCATTTCCATGTACAATTTCATACAAGATGGTCGTTTCATTGTTAGTACTGAAAAAAGCTTAAAAAATTCCAATTTAATTTTTTCATTGTCAGTGTAAATGTCTTAATTTAAAATAATAAATAATTTACTATTAAAATATAAATATAAACCAATTTCAGTTCAACATATCGGTCCATTAAAATGCCATTTCTAATTACCTAGTCTAAATGTTGTGCTATTTTTCCAAAGGTGCCCTTACCCTTTCCCTTCCATAACTAGAGCACTAAAAACATTGGTATTATCATGATCCGCCATTTTGGACCCAAGCAATGGAAATAACTGCAGCAAGTATCTATCAGTAGGTACAGTTGGATATGGAAGTGTCTCAATTAAATAATAACATTTGTTTTTTTTCTTGATCTCTTGAGATAGATAGTCGGGACAACCTACTAGTATATATCTATTTTCTATTGCCAAGACCCAAAATGGCGGATGATAATCCTTATGTATTTAGTGCCTTACCACAACTTTTTACTACAATAATTTCTTTGTCAATGGATTTGGTTATACCTTACATGAATATGTCTCACATGTTGAGCGTTTTGAGTTGTAAAAGTAAGGATACGTAAGTCAATTTTCCAGTATACATATGTAAACATACAATTTAACTATGACATTATAGTGAATATTTCACTAAAATATTACCTGACCTACGTTTTATGCGCCATTCAAGATTGGTAGCCATTTTTATAAAAAGTATGGGCTCATTTGACACCCTGTATAGTTTGTAATACATTGGTTATAAATATTTCATTATGAAAACACCTTGCAAATGCACTATTCTTTCAAATCCCTTATCGTCCAAACTTCAGGTTAAACTGTTATCGATAAATTCCAACTTGAACTATTGTTCATTAACGCATTGTTGAACCACCATTAATTAGGAGTTTTAGAAGAAGTATAATGTACATATTATCAACATTCGAAGCATAACCTTCAATCGTTCCTGTTTTTGCTTTATTTTTTTATTAATGTTTGTCAGAGCCCAAAAAAAAATAAAATGAGATATATCGCTTTTTGAAAAAAAATTATCAATGAAAAATTGTACCCCCTAATTGAAAAATTACAATTATTTGAAGACGTTATTTAATTAAATTAAATTTAATTAAAAGCGGAACAGTATTTATCAATTTCCGACCACGAATTGAGCTTTAAACCGTATAATTCAAGAACATATATCCTTTTATCTTAAACCACGACTCAATCTATCTAAAATTAACGAGTCGGATCAAAAAAAATTCAATTTCCTGTTTTTCTCTTTGAGCTATATATGACACGGCAAGTAGGTAATTTTTTTACATTTTTTCAAACACTACATTATTTTCAAGAAGAAGTAACTTTCAGACCCTCGAAGCAGAATTTTAAGCTTTTTTAAACCCTTAACATGTTGTATAGATAGGAAATTCAATTTTTCGTATTTCATTCCTTTGATGTTACGATAACATAATCATATAAGTAAGTACATGAATGTAGAATATAAATTTGAAAAAATCATGTGAAAAATACATTTTTGGCATATTCTTGATTTGTGTGTAAACTTTACCGCATTACAATTAATATTTCAGAAGTATTAAAAGTGTTTTACCCAAAAGAATAGTTTTCGTATCGAGAGGAGATAAATATGAAATGAAAATTTAAGAACAATAACGCTAATTGACTATTGAGGGGAACTTAAAAAATCAGTACGTTATATCAGAAGTTCGCTCAAAAAGAATTAACACATAAATATGCTTAAAACCCTATTTGCTTTTGTTATTCATTAGAAAATGATACACTGATTATTCCGTTGTTTAAACAATAATAATGTTTATTACCGGTGTAGTAAACGCCAATGCACAGAGGTTATTATATTTTTATTTATTTATTTATATTATTTACAGTTATTTTTCGAAATAAATGTAAGGAAAAACTTAATGAACCTATT